ATAAGTAACACTAACTTAATAGTCTTTTCTATTCTTTATCTAATACAATTTCTATACATTATTTACCAATTCAAAAGAACTATTATGTTTCCCTTATTTAAATATTTTAAAACCTCAAAATTCATCTAAATTACTAAGGTACTAAATTCATCAAAATTACTAAAGTCTGACAGTTAAGAGCACAGAAGATTAAGACTTAAAAACAGAAACCCTAAATATATTAAAACCTGATTTTTTTTTTAGAAGATATCTTTGTATCTTTTTCAACCACGTTATAAAAGCAGTTTTCTGCTTTAGATTAACCCCCCCCCCTTTAGTAAAGTATATAAACTGGTCAGGTAAGCTACAGGTAGGTTAAGATAAATAAAACGGAAGAGCAAGAAAAACAATTACTTTGAAAAGAAAAATGCTTCAGTGAACAATTCAAGCCCCATCTCAAACCTGGCAATAAAAAACAACTTAAAGCAAAATGTAAAGAAATATACCTGGCTGGGTGAAAAGTATAAATAATCGTGATGAACATCTCATAATTTAACTTATTTTTCCTACTAGATGACAATGTCCTCGAACCCTATATAATACTGCAACAATTCAATCAAAAAAGAAAAAGCGTGCCTTTTTGTGCCCTTTCCAGGAAAGTGAATATCCAAAAAGTTCTCATTATAAGAGAGCTTCACCTACAAACAAGTCCCATAGCACAAAGGCTCCAATGTACTATGATGTTCCACACTTTCATTTACTATATTCTCTAAGTACAAAGGTTCCAAAAAGATTAGTTTCACTTTTCCCTAGATATATTTAGTATGTTAACTAGTATAGTTGGGATATTATTTTCCTTTGGTTTTGTCAGTAGCATGTCTGATATAAATTTTATTAAGTGGTAGTATATGTAACATTGCATTGTGGGTAGTAGTTTCCTGCTTTACCCTAGCCACATCCTCAGCTGTCATATTGAGCATGTTTCGCATATTTTCTGCAAGTTCTCGACTTTTTTTTCTTCTTAGAAAAATGACAGCAGAAGATGAATTGTTCTAATAATTATAAGAAACATGAATTATTTATACAGTTACATTAAACAAGTATGGATCACTGTGTACTTTGAAAAACAGTCAAAGGGAGAAAAAAGTAATCCTCATAATTAAAGGGCTAAATTCATGTGAAACAATGTAAAAGTAAATTAACACAGAGGAAGGAATTAAAAAATGTTAAAAGAAATCTCTGTAATCAGATGCCAATACCATCTAACAAATGAGGTGTACTATAACAAGATATATCAATGATTTGCCTTGAATGTTAGAAGCTTCAAACCTGTAACGTATTCATTAGTGAAGATTAATGTCAATATCCCCTACTAGAACCTTAAGAATCTACTTTGAGATTTTATAAATGTCAAAACAGAGAAAGAGAAACCAAAAAAGCCTGGAGGAGAGAGGGAAGAAAGGGGGAGGAGTTGAAGGGGAGACAGAAAGGGAGAGAGAGACACACAAAAGTTAACTACTTTCTCTTTTGGCATCCAACTTCCACATTATCTCACATTAGACAGAGAGCTGCTAATACTAACCAAATGAAGTTGTTCAAACAATCATGGATATGGTAGTGCTTTGGGTTTTTACAAAATTTAAAGAAACTGAGGAGAAAAACAAAGAATACTCTGATTACAAAAAATACCACTTTTTTTAGTATATATACATACACACACATATATATGTAAATTTTTTTAAGTACCAAAAAATAATACCTTGTACACACATACAACCACACATGTGTGTGCAGGTGTGAACACGGATATATACCCCATTAAAATAAGGAAGTGTAATTAAATCTCTCATAATCATAATTTATAATAGCAATAAAATTATACATATTTTACTAATGTAAAAATTTTTCAAAGCATCAATAAAAGGCCCAATAAATGCTATGTAAGTCTCAATAGCTATACATCAAATCCAAATAAAATTGTCACACAACAAGTTGAAACAATAAATTAAGAAAATTCCTTGCTGAAACCTCATAATCAATGAGAACATTTTAAGCCAAAATAGGATTTCTACAATTTATAAAATTCCTACATCAAACCTATTTTGCTTCTATTGTTTTCAATTAAAAGAAAAATAAAACAGCAACAAAAATAAGTTTAAAACAATCAAAAAAAAATAGAAATGGGCACAAGACTGGTATTGATAAAACTACTGTATTATAATAGGATCATTAATTCAGAAAATTAAAAATGATTCAAAAGGTAACAATGAAGATATATATGTAGCATTTGAAACATTACAGTCTTATATAACAATATACAATGTAAAAAATTCGACCAATGTTGACAAACTTATTAAATACAAGGCAATGGGAAAACAAATAACTAACTTCTTTACTTTTCGTGAAACTGTTTTCAAGTTCAAAGCTATATTTCATTTCCATGGCATTATAATACATAATTTATACAGCAGACTTAAACTCGATACTTACTTCAACATAGCAAATACTAATATATCCCCTAAAAGAATGAAGTTTTGAGGGTCTTTAAAAAACCAAAAAAACCCTGTGGTTTGCATTTCTGATTTTAAGCATAATCAAGAGCTTGCTTTATCTGCAGTGACTTTTCTGAGTCAGTCTCTCTTCAACACATGTGGTAAGCTAATTCTAATGAAACAGACTGTCAATTATCAAATGTGTACCAGTTATCACTGTTGTTTTAAAATTTTTACCACAAAGTAATATTTGCTCCGAAGAGGATAGATTTTCAATTTATAAAAAGAAAAAAAGTATATGTATGTATGTACGTATGCATGTGTTTGTGTGTGTACGGATAATGAACATACAGACTTTAAAGCACAAGACTTCACTACTTTCTCCTGCCAGAATTTGATGGGCCTCACACAGAACAGAAAGGGCATATTCAACAATATCTATTAAACTCTTAAGCAGTAAGAGTGATTACCCTGACCCAAAAAATTATGTGCAGGAGGGTTACCTGCAAAAACAGAACAAGCAGTTAAGAGACACATAGATGTTAAAAATTATTCAAATACATATACAGTTAATTTGGAGGGCGAAAGTACACTTAATAAAAACAAAAAATTTTAAGGGAGAAAATATTTAGCAAAAAGTTTTAAGATGTCAGCAAACCCAAACGCAGAAACTGAAAACTCATTCTGAAAAAAGAATTTACTTAGCAGACTACTAAATTTTTTCAATTGCCTGATTCCGCTGCTATTGTATGTGCATATGGAACTATGTTTGAAAATTCCACAAATTATATAGACAAAGCCCTCCTTTAACTTACGTTAGATATTAATTAGAGCTACAGATCCCACTGTACGCCTTATTTATGAAACAGAATCAATGAATAAATTTTCCCTTTTGCATGAATAACTGCATGTTAAATGAAAGCTTTTACTTTTCAATGTAAAACCTGTTTACATACACAATGAGGCATGATAAATATGTATTTTAAATAAAACACTAAAACGTTATTTCTGGTTTTTTAATCACTAAAAATTTATTATGGAAAAGTTCTAGATATTTGAATAATAAAGGATTAAAGTCATTCCCATATCCTCCCAGTGTATTTTGGGCAAATTATTTTTTTGTAAGAAACTTATGAACACATTAGTACATTTATCTTTATCAAATATAAACCAAAAACAGATAATGAACTGTGCTAGGACGACCATACGAAGGGGTACTTTGGCTCTAACATCCTCCTCAGTATTTCCCAGTCCTTACCCCATTATACACCCCAAATAATGTTTTGTAATTCACTGTCTCCGCCCACCCTCCCACTCATTTACTTCATGCCACTCCTGGTTACTATCACACTAGGAAGAAGTCTAACATGCAAATTCAGAGTGGCGTGGATAAATGGCAAAAAAATGCCTAGAAAATTGGTCTGTTCAGCTTTATAATTTTTGCTGAAAAATACCCCATTTCTCTCAACTGATGAAAACAGGAAGCTCTATTCATAAATATGAAATTCTCTGCCTATGATATATAATCATCCTAATAAGAAAATGAGTTCTATACATACATGTCCAAAGGGGCAAAAAAGGAGATAGTTTCCCAAAGATGTTTCCAATTTTCTTCTGAATCAGAATTAGCAAATCGAGACGACTAACATACTCTGTGTGCATTATTCCGTACTACACACAGCATTTTGTAATTTATTTCAAAAGCTTCTATTATAAACAAAAAATACAGCTTCTGTTAACCCACTCCATTCTGAGCTTAGAAAAATCAATAACATTGAACAATCTAAGTTACAACATAAGAATTTTACTTTATATTTGTATAAGACTTGCTATCAAAGGTTCTGTTAAAGTTAATATCCAAGTAAATGATACAAAATGAGTATACAAAATGAGTATATTTCCTTGAAAAATAAAAATTATTACACACATAAAGAAAACTAAGATTCATCCAATAAACTATGCCACAAGTTTTGCTATTCATTTTTATAAGATACTCAAACTAGCCATGAGATAAAGGTAAACATAATACAAAAGATACTAATTATATTTAATCTTTACTGTAGGAGCCGGCATCTAATATTGATCATATATAAACTAGACAGACGTGATTTAATATTTGTAAAGGAATCCCCAGACTAACACTTTCATGACGGCCAATTACAGTCAAGCCCAGCAAGCAGTTTGCAACCAGACCTTAAGAAAGGTAAACTTTTTTACAATGAGTTACAGATTCATGAGTTTAAGAAGACAAGAAAAAGGAAAACAGAAGGACTCCAATCACCCAGCAAATATGAAGCAGACCCCAGAATGTGATACAATCCAAAGATGTAAATTATTGTAAATCATCACTGTTGTTCAGGATTTCACACACAGCCTCTTGAGCCAATTTTGCTCACTTTTCCACAGACACAATAATGAACTAAATAAAAGGAGGAGGCACAAAAAGTAGGGGTGGGGGGATAGAAAGGAAAGCCCACAACAGCAGAGTTCTGCTCTACAAACGCTTAACCTTACAGGAGTTTGGGCTCCTTCAGCATTTGTATTCTATCCAAATCCTCATGAGTCACAAAAATTAAAAAGCTATATCCTTCTGGATGCCAGGAAGGGCCTTACCACAAGCCTTTTGTCAGAGAGAGAGAGAGAGAGAGAGAGAGAGAGAGAGAAAGAGAGAGCATGAGCAAGGGGGGAAAGCCACAGTGGTAGGCAGTCCCACTTGACTGTGAGTACTATGAGGTCACAAACCACATGATTCTGTCTCTCCAGTAATAGTGCTTTTGCAAAAAAAAGGAGTTTGAAAGCTTTTGCTTTTTTGGATTGTGTGAATGCTTCATTCGCCTCACAAACAACCACAGAACCACAAGTGCGGTGCAAACTTTCTCCAGGAGGACAGCAAGAAGTCTCTGGTTTTTAAATGGTTAATCTCCGCAGGTCACTACCAGCCACCGAGACCAACAGAGTCAGTGAGTGCTCTCTAACCACAGTCTATGCAGTAATAGTAGGTCCTTCCAATATTTGCTCATTCTCTTTTTGTTTTGTTTCCTTGCTTTTCACATATTACCAGCTACATAATTTCTTGACAGAAAAAAATAAATATCAAGTCTATGTACTGCAGGCATACTGTAAAACTAAAACAAGGTTTGGGTATGGTTTGTGTTTTCAGTTTAAGGCTGCAAGCAGAATTTACAACAGAGGGTACAAGTTCTATCTGAAAATAAAAGGAGGGACTATGGCATCAAACAGCCTCTTCAGCACAGTGACACCATGTCAGCAAAACTTCTTTTGGGGTAAGTGTTATCGTATTTTAAAATCCTATAAGAGATGAACCTGTTAAACATAAAGGTATGTTTCTCGGATGAACTTGCTAGCTTTGCCAGCTAACATTATATTAAAGATCATAATGATGCTGTTTTGTTACACTAAAAGTTGAAAAATGAAATTGCTGTACAAATTTGCTTTTGGCATCTGTAACTTATCTACTTCTCGGACTAATGACTTGAAATAGAAAAAATTAAATTATCTCACATTAGTCTAAATGTTTTCTAGAGCTATAGAAATGAGGTAGTTGAAACAGTAAAGGAAAGTTTAATATTCTCATTAACCTTCACTGAAATAAAATTAGACACTACATTAATCAAAGTATTGTGAAGTATTCACCCCGGCAGCTCCCAATATTTGAGCAAACTTTTAAAAGGAAGCAATTTTACAAAATAACAGACCACAGAATTATCTTGACATTATACTCTACTATGTAAAACAGAGAAATAAACCTGCAGTATAACTTACATTTTAACCAGCTCAACCACAAGAAATCTACTTATAATTTTAGACTGCATCATAGATATCTGTACAAGTTTGTTTCTAGGCAACTTTACATAATTGAAGCATATATTCAACTGAAACAAAATTATGATAAGTATGTAATAGCCACTTTTAAAAGATCTTTATAGTTGCCCAGGATATCCAGGATATTAAAAAGCTCACAGAAGTCGTCAAAAACTTACATGCAATCATAAGTTTCTATGCAATTTTAGTTTACATCTACACACTATTATCCATAAGTAGAAATTGTTTTAAACATAGCAAACATTAAAACGTCTAGGATTATTTTAATCATATTCTTTGACCTACCAAAATAAGTATCATTTAGTCTCATAAAAAAGAAAACTCTGTAAGGATACTCTGCGTGATTTAAAAGAGCCATACCAATTAAGTCATGCTGGACTTTAAAAGAAAACAGGCATAATATAGTATTAATATTTAATTTCAAGTTAGTGTTAATACACAAAAGTAAACTACTTCAACATTCATCAGCTAAGATGGTATTATAGTAAAATATCTAAACACTTACAAGATTTTCTTTATGCTGTCCAACATGTTCTACAAGGCAAGTTTATAAAATTTTCTTTTATCCTTTAAAATAAATCCTTTTGCTGTGTATACCTGTATTAACTTTGCTTTATAACTTACAACTAACGATTGGAGTTTCTTTTACTCCTCCTACTTCACACATTTTAAATGGCTACCAGAGGATCAGTCTTAGTTTCAGTCAAAGAGAAATAATTAAACCTGAAGGAGAAAAAAGGTTTCTCTTAAAAGGGTGAGAAAATATACTATGTATTTTACAAAAAAATGTAAAATTGCTGTAGTGACTCCCTCAATAGTTCTAAGTGGGCCCCCTCAGTTATAACACATACAATACAATAATCACAGATTATTTTTTTTAATTTAATGGAAGATAATAAGCATTACTGTAAAACTTTCTGCATTAAGGAAGCAGAACATATACACAACTAGACTGCATTAACAACCCCTATTATAATTATAGCTCATACATGGAAACTTTTGCTGTTCCCACCCAAGAGAAGAGGGGAAAAAAATGCTTAAAACTATTGTTATATGGAGGGATAACTTGAAACAGCATCTCAAGCAGTTAAGTTACTCTTCACAATGTTACTCTATTTTTTAAAAAATAAGAATTTTTCAAACCAGATTGGGAACACAAATTTCAAGGGCTATTTCAGCATTAGATGTAAAGTTACTAATATAGTCACAAAGAATATGTTAAAATGTTCTTTATTCTGTCATATGAGGGAGTGTTACATTTCTGTGACATCCTTAGTAACTGTTTCTACGGTAAAATTTTCAAAACTTGACCCAGTTTCAAACAGGCATGATAATGAATTAAATAATCCATCACATCACATATTTTTATACATCATAACTAAGTCTTCCTCTTCTGAAAAGTGGAATTTACCCTCTCCCACTCCCAAATAGTATTTGAGAGCCTGGATAGAGAACGTAAGATGAACCCACTACATGGGACTAATTACAGGTGGGTGGTGGACATAATGTATAGGTTATCATCACACTACAAACATTTCCCCCTTCTGGAATCTATCTGAAGTCTGAAACCTCACTTCAGGCTTTAAATTCTTAAGTAATTGATTATCAAAACAACCTAATGAAATGTCAAAAGTATGTGCTCCAATTTTGTAAAATAGTTTTAAAAGTTCAGGCTCTTCCTAGGTGAGGGACAAAAGCACACGTTGACCAACTGCCTCACCTCAAAATAATAAGTGAAAAGAGTGTGTGCGTGTGTGTGTGTCTGTGAATTTTCAATGTGCACTACTCAAAATATGTCCATTATTTATCATAAATGAAGTCTGTTAAAATGAATAGATGTAACTCATGGAGTATCTTACCATTAAGAACTTATTTACGAAAATATATCAGCTGACAGACTAAATTTCTACATAAAACCTTTGTAACTGACTGTAGTACCCGACTGAACGTGATGTGTGAAGACTGATTTCCAAAACAATAGTTGTGGTCCATATCAATGATAGTGATTTTATAGTTTCAAGATTTAACAGCGACAAAGTGTCACAACTTGCTTCTAAAATAAGAGAGCTAAATTCCAAAATCCAGGGAGATGATTTAAAAAGAGCATATATAGAAGACCACTCCTATTAAAAGCTAACAATGTCGGTGCAATTTCCAAAGACTCTTATTATGTATTATTTAACAATCATAATTTTACATGAAAACTGGTAAAGATTTCACTTTTAAACATTAAAAATATTTTAGAATGTAGAAGATTTAAAACAAATCACAGAAAAATATTGTTAGTCTATATAAATCTCTTGATAGTCTCTAAATCACAAGAAAGCATGAAATATACATGGTTACATTATGATATACTTTAGTTATTTTAAAAGAAGAAAAAATTAATCTCTTCAATTACACCCTTCAAACTAATCACTGATAGTTTGACTTGTTTAAATCAGTCATGCTAAAGTTAAATTCAGTAAGATAGAAATGTTCCAGTTTGTTAAAAGAACACTGAAATATTTGATGGTTAAATAAACTGCAGAGGGGGGAAAAAACTAACTCATTGAAGGCACTAAGATTTTATCAAACACACAGAATTAATCTTTATTGAATAGAACCATTCACAAATCAAAACTCACTGTACTTCAGTACTTTCAAGCAGCGCTAATCAATTACAAACCTTTTCTAGTGCTTCAAAACTCATGTGCTTTCAATTTTATACACTGGTGGTCCTCAAGTACTGTATTGGGGCTGAGTTAAGACATTCTGTATCACAACTTTTTTTTCAACAAATATTCATCTAGAGGGCTTTTTTTTTTCCTCTCAAGAGCTGCTCACATGAAAACTGTGGTAATATTTTTATACTGTACTTCTTTGTTGAAGCAAAAGGTTAGGGGTTACCTAAATACCTCAACTGTATATACGAAAAAGGGAAAAGGTAAGTATTCATATAAAAAAATCCAATGGGACTGGATTATTTATTTTTGCATTTCCTATGATTAATGATGCACCCATGCATACTCGAAAACTGATGGCAAAACAGGGTAACATCTCAAACTCCTCTCCAAAGCATACAAATACCAACCTTCCATACTGTTCTAACCCGTTGCAAGATACTAAAATGTGACAACTCTAATAGTGAGGTCATGCAAATCTCCTCAAAAGCATTCATTGCAAATGCAATTAATTACGTAACAAAAGTCTACAGAGATATTTTTACATAAGGGATTCACTGGAACAGTCTACCTCTACAGTGTGTCTCTGTAAAAATAATACACATATGGTCAAACAGACAAATACCTTCAATATGAAAGAATCCTTCCTACAAACAATAAACCTGTAAACGTGACAAAGCGTGACTATTTTTTCTAGTCATCTGCCATGCAAGATTTATTAGTAAATGGGTGCTAACAAAACCAATGCTAATTTAAGCAGTATTCCCACTAGGTTACCCAAATGCACTACCTTTTTCTCCTATACCAATGAATTCCACTGAAGATAAAACTTCATCCAAAAAAAAAAACCTGTCATTAGCCTCCCATAATAAGGATAACAATAAACTCCATATTCAGTATTTTCTAAAGAGCAAAATATTCTAAGCTGTCTAAAGTATATGGAAATTCTTCATGAAATATGAAATATTTAATCTTTTAAAACAAATCTTTAGAAAAGGAAGTCTCACATGATGAAAATATACACCTTGATACAATCTATTGCCATTTCAAAGTTTAAGGAATTCGGTGGATATGTATTTTGATTAATGTATTACAATTCAAAAAAATAATGGGGAAATTCTACACCTTATTCAAAGGGACTTTACTTACAATCTTAACCACAGTTGGCCACCAGCTTTTGCCCATTTAACAACAAGCACACGTACACTCCCACATAATTTTTTAAAGATCTGTAGAGCAACTGAGATTAAATGCTCTTTTATTACATTGTATACAAAATCTTCATCTTACGTTGAATTCTTAGGAATTTCTCCCCTTTGTATTATTTATTAAGGATGTAGGATTCAACTTTGGACAGTACTGAATGTAAGCAATACCATACCAGTCATTTCGGGTGTTTATTGTTGTTGTTGAACAGGATGTTAACTCTAAAGTATATTTTTTCATAAATATGCTGTCTTATACGAATAAAAACCTAATCATTCACCATTATATGTTAAGATAATTCCCAAATAAAATGAGCCGTAGAATTGAGTCCAGATAAGCATTTAATACTTGCAGTAAAGCAAAAATTCATTATTGATACACCTCCTATAAGTACTCTTTATTCTTGTTAATACTCATAAATCCAACATCCAATATGTAGTCCAGGACTAAAAATCATACTGAGTGTGATTTTGCCTCTAATTAAGTGATTTTCAATTTTTAAATCAACTGCCCACAAAACAAGGAATTCTGCACCATACAGACATATATTAAGTAAATGCAATTTTAATGAG